AGTCTTTACCTTAGACTAGGGTATTAGTTTTTCATGCACACACATATGCACACAACACATGCAATTAAGCATCAATGTCACACTTTTCTCACATACATCACAAGTAGCATTGTCAAACACTTTTCACATGCATTACTTAACACAATAGAACTACTCTATCCATTTTAAAAATATTAATATTGTATAATTGGCTTGTACTTAATTTTACAAGCTACTAGGTAAAAGAGTTTATCTAATTACCTCGCACCCTTTCTATTAAGGATTACCATTTCTAGCAAAGCACTCTCTGAGCTATAAATTTCCACGAATAGCTCCTAGTTACACAATCTACACCAACAAGTGCTCAATTCCCAATCTAATGCAAAACACCCAACTTAGCTAAGTCACATTACTTAGTGCTTATATAGTCTCAACAACATTCATTGGACTTATTCTAGTCCATTTATCCTAATCACACATTCTTAGGCCATTAATGGGGACAAACTACCTCTTAACTCTCAATATCAGCACTTTCCACCCTTTAAAACCTCTTAATTTATGTCTAGTTGAGCCTATAACTCTATGGCTCAACTATTAAACCTCAAATTAGTTGTAAAAGTTCCACACCTAAAATCCCCCTTTTCAACCATTTAGTCAAAATTTAACCCCTTAAGGCACCCCGATTCAATTTCTCTATGTCTAAATCCTAAAGAAATTAGTGTATAATTGAAGTACAGAGTGGTATGAAACTTACCCAATATGCGACATGTCAGAAATATCTCTTAGTATCTAAAAATAGCATGCCTTAGTAGAGACACCCTTCCTCCTTGTCCCTCATGCATCTTTTTCCTTTCTCCTCTCTACCTCATAAACTAATCCACATCTTCTTTATCTAAATTTTATGCCATGTGCCACGATGCATGTAGTACATGCCACAGCATGTAGCACAATAAGCAGTCTCATTGCTGCTTGCACATTTTACTCCAGACCACCATTTCACCACATGATCCTAATCATTTAGCAACGTAACTAATATTTAGATAGTATCCTATGAAGCTATCTATCCTTCACATGTGTTGGAATACAAAGAGATGTAATTACAGTCAGATCTATCCTTTATGGTTGAGTTAGTGAGGATTGCCAATGTTGAAGAAAAGAAACTCAAACACAAGACTATTCATTTAGTGAAGCTTATTTGAAAATGTTTGACTTTTAAGGATGCTACTTGGTAAACTGAGGGTTCAATTTAAAGGTACTACCCCTAAGTTTTTCATAAGGTATGTTAAATTTTGGAGGACAAAATTCTTAAGGTTGGATGAATGTCATGCCAAATTATTTTGAGCTCAATTATTTGGAAGATTAAGGGTTAATTTTCTCTAATCTAGAGGAAATAGGATAGTTTTTTTTATGAAGGTTAGAACTACTATCCATGATCAACCATTGATAAGGATTCCTCAGGGGTTGACCACTTGTAAACTCTAGCAAAAATGGGAAGTAGAGCCCTTGTTCACCATCAATCCTGGATGAGATTAACACTGGAGTCATCTGTTGTTGTACGCTAGCCTTGTGTTGACTAATAAAAATGTGAAGGATATCTACGAGTGGATGTGACTACTAAAGGCATGATTGATCACAGATGAAGTACATCATCAACATTTTAAATATTGAAAATCAAATTAGATGAAAAGAATTTTGGTTTGGGGTTAGGAAGCAGCTAGAAAGGTTCATTTTTTAAGGAGAATAGGTAAAGACCTAAGGTTCTTAGGACCTCCATTGTTTGTTTAAGTGAGTAGTGATTATTTTATCCCCTTTCTCCTTTCTTTTGATGTTAGAAATGGTTGGTTATCATGAGTAGTGATTATTTTATCCCCTTTCTCCTTTCTTTTGATGTTAGAAATGGTTGGTTATCATTGTGTGGTTGAATGAAAGCCTTGGGTTCAAATTCCTTAGCAATTAACAAAGTAGTCTAACTCCTAAAGGTAAGTTTTTGCCTTCCTTAGCTCCATTTGAGATTTTAATGGGTAAAATTTTTGGACTCAAGGGTTTTGGATGAAACCTTATGCATTTAAGAAGGGGATTTCAAAATTCTAGGTCCATTTACAAATCATAATCTAATGATGGTTCTTGGAACTTGAATCTATGGTTGGCATGGATGATATGTGGAATTTTGGATCTTTCAATATTCAAATCAAAATTTTTAGGGACTTTTGATTTGAATGATCTGACTATAATTTGGCCTAGTTTTTATTTTGGATAGTAAGTCTGAATGATAAATAATTCATGTCTAAAATTTTAGAATTGGACTTCATTTGGTTTCTCATTTTGAACTTTAGATTGTGTCAATTTTTGAGAAATGGGCCTAATACTAAAAATTGATGATTTGATTACAAGAAGGTTAAATGATGACATTTTGGAATTGTAAGGTGATGAGGTTATGTATTTATGGGTGTTGGAATAAGTTTGGAGCTATTGAATACAAGCACTGGTGCAAAAAAAAATTTGTAATTTGATTTCTTATATAAATTGATATGAATTATAAAATGAAAGGTTTTAGTAATCTGTTCTTTAAAACAATTTAGTAAGCTTCCAGCTTCCCCATCTTTCATACTTCTTCATCGCTTAGCCTTCAAAATTATTTTTTTCATATTGTAATGTCCATCTGACATTACCAATTTATCACACTTCATCTATATTATCACAATTAGAGGTTACACAACCCTCTCTAAACAATCAAAATGACAAATAACTATAATATTAAAAATAGTATCTTTAAACCATTTGGGATCTCAAAACCTTTCAAAAACCATTGAAAATCATTTAAATTCATATTTTAATACTTAGTAGAAGCTTATAAATTGCATATTAGTCCCTTAGTGTGAAAAACAAAGAAAATCAATCAATTCCAAAAAAGGGACCTACACTGCAATTTGTACCACATGCATTGCGACATGTGGTACAGAGCCAAAAATCCATGTTCTGTATCATGCTCCGTGACATGATCATGAGTTGGGACTAAGTTTGAGTTAGTTCAAGCGGTTTCAAGATTATTGGCACTAAGCTTATGAGTTGGTACACCCTCGTGGTTGTTTTGAAAAGAGAATGGACCAATTTGTGTTCAAGTGTTTAACTTTTAAATGGTGAAGTGTGTGAGTGTGAGACCAATGCCTATAGTTAGGTGGCTAAAAAAGCAATGTATGGATACTTGAATTGCTCAAATTAGATATCGAATGGCAAAATGAATCACTCTAAAAGTTGACTAGATGAGCTGTTATGACAACAGTAGTGTGTAGTGGCACATGGCACAGAGAGAGACCAAGTCCCTCTGTGCCATCTACTGTGGTGGGTGACTTATGAGTCGTGGTGGACAAGACATTTTTTGGATTTTTCTTGAATGTCCCATTATTGCTTTTAACGATTGTGTTTGCTTAGATGCTTTCGCTACATTGTTTATTTTATTTTAAATTATAGTTTGAGCTTAAACATCTTTTTAAAAAGGGTTTCTTGGGATTTCAATCTTTTAAAACTATTTTTCTAAACCTTTAGGTTATGATAATCTTATATAAAGAATTTAATCAATCTTGATTATCATAACACTGTTATTGGAGTGTTATTTTGATAATGTCAAGGCGGACATTACACACAACTTTTCACAAAATTGATATTCTATCATTTTATAAAATATGGCATTTATTGTTTATATAAAGTACTTGTAAATAATTTTAGAAGATAATAAATAAATGAGTTAATCAAATTACCTTTTACCTTTTTTTCCAAAGGTGTTTAAAAGGTTTTTCAAAAGTTTCCACTGAGCAATAGAATATCCTTTTAAAAGGTTTTTCAAAGGTTTTGAGTTCCCAAATCATTTAAGTATATTTATTTCAATATTTTTGATAATTATGATTTTGATAACCTTAGAAGTTTGAAAGACCTCTAATTGTGTTTTTGGGAATTACATGAGATAATTTAGTAATGTCAAGTTGACATTATAATTGCTATGTGATATTAATGGCATATGACATAAAAAAATATTTTTATTATTTTTTAACACAACTTAAAGAAGGGTAAAATTGTAATTTTTATTTGTAATTCACATGATAATACTATCATTTTTTTAGTTGAATGATATTGTTCTCATTGTTCACGAGTAATACAATTTTAAAAAAAAATTATAATTTTATTATTTTTTATTTAATATCTCAAAATTTTTATAATGTGCCAACTTAGAGGGTTAAAAATATATAACCTTTATGTCTTATTAAAAAAAATTAAAAAGTTAGGTGGGCCGTAACTTTTACTGGTCTCTCCCTACCTCCACCCCTATATGATCTGTTAGCCTAAAACAATCATCATTGACAAAATAAGAAACCTCTTAACTCCTTGACTAAGTGTAAGTTAATTGTAAGCGCTCCGTTACATATAAAAAAAGATTAAAAATAAAAGATATCATCATATCACAGAGCTTTTAAAGCGCTCCGAAAGCCTAGGCCCTGAGAAAAATGTGAGACTTGATAAGCTTGGTTGAAAAGGGTTAGTTTCAAATTTTTTATATATTTATGGGAAATTCCCCCACCCCAAAATCAAACGATTCACGCGGCACGATCCCTCCCTTCCATTTCAGCTTCTCCCTTCTCCCTTCAAAAACCCTCTCAAACTCCATTGCTGGCGAACGTTGAAGTTGACGACGATGACTGCCAAGCCGCCAATGAAGATAAAAAAGCTACCTACACCGATTCCAACCTCCAGATATGCCATTTGCTCATCATCTGTTACAGCCTAGATGCATGTGTTGCTTTAACTTTGTTTTTACTCCTATTGATAAGATTTTCTCAAGGATGTTGTTTTCGGAGACAACTAATGGGATGATGCAAATTCATTGAGTTTCTGAATCTATTTATAAGGATATTTCAATTTCTCACTGCCCAGATGACTATTTACTATGTTTGTACTAATAGACTAGCTTGCCAAAAGAAACTATATCATAACTGTACCTTATCCTTTTGTGATGTTTTAATTTATCAAAGGTTATAGCTGCAACAGTAGCAAGTGACCTGGAGAAATATTCTGAAGCATTTCTTGGGAAGCCAAATGCGGACTATTGTGCCTGGATCATTGACTCTGAGAACTGGGGAGGTTAGTTCAGCTAGCGCTTCCTACTCACGATTTCTTAATTCTAAATTATTGATGTTCTGCATTCGATGTTTTGTATTCATTTTCTTGGCTTAATTTATTAATGCTTGTTTCTGAAGGTGAGCCAAGAGAAATTGTCATTGATGGAGATATATGTTCTAAAAGCTAGTGAAGAAAAACTAGTGATAATTAGGCTATTATTTTCTTCTGGAGAGAAGAAGATTAATAAAGCATTAGTAAAGTTTGTAGTTTCTGCTAGGCATTTTAGAAATTTCACCGAGAATTGCTTCGAAAAAGCTTTATTGGAAAATGTAGAGTAACATTCATTGTAATTTAAGAAATAATATTTGAAAATCAATGAAGATCAGATTTCATAACACTATAGGTTTGGATAATCTATTAAAGGTTCTGTAAACTTCAAATGCTGCATTTTTGGCCGTGGAGTTATGATGAAAATATTGTGCGTCCATATTTTGCAAGTGAAGAGATTAACAAAACTTCCTGTCTAAAGTTTTAATTTGCCGAAGGTTATATCCTAGTGATGTTTTAATTTGTCGAAGGCAAGATTATGGAATTTTATGCTTCCTTTGGAGCCTGACAAGGAGTGCACAATGAATTCATAATAATAGATAACCCAAAGTGGTTAGAACTGCCTTAAGAAAAGAATTATAAACAGTTATCATAAGCTACTAACGTCAAATGAAAAGAAACTCTATAACTATGACCATTGAGTTCATTAAGAAAACACAATGAGAATGTACTATGATTAGTGTTAAAAATACTCTGTTTCTGTTCAATACTTGGTGCTAAAATCCTAACTCAAAAATTGAATGCAGTGTTATTCACTGATTTGTTGACTTTATTTGGCCTGTATAATCATTAATAAACTTATCTATTTACCATGTTTCATTTCTTGGTGATATAATTATGTGCCAATCTCTTGCAGTATCAACACATTCTCTCACATGGTTGAAGTAAAAGAAATCTTTACTGTTTGCGATCCTTCATACAGAGATTTTTTGAAGGTTTTTCTTTCTTTTAATAATCTATAAATCCTCCCTCTCTCCACCGCTTCCTCCCCCTCTTTTTTGTAGGCATGTTCTTTAGTTTCCTTTGTAAATAATTTTATTTGTGCCTCTTGATCGTCACTGTATATCTTTTTTACTCAGATGCCAAAAGAGACAACCTAGCTGAACTTAAATTTGCTCTTCCTAGGAAGGAAAGACAGAATTCAGTTTACATCATCAGAAAGATTTTGTCGGCTGATTAAGGCATCAACTCACGTCTTATGAAATGTATTTTTAATAATTACAAACCAAGTTTGATTCTTTAGTTTGCAAAGTTTTGATTCGGTAATTAAATAAACTCTAATTGATTTATGTCTGATGGCAATATTGGTAGGACGACGTTCTATTTGTCATTCACTCAGATTTCAACTAAGCTTTGAGTTTTCATGGTTGAGTTCATAATTCTAGGCTGTTCAAATCCGTGAGATTCATGTAAAATAGCAATTTGGAATTATCAACTTCTGGCCTTATTTGATTTTTAATTGCATAAACAAAAATTGGAAAGCTTCAGGTGGTAATTTACTTAAATCATATTTTTTTTACAAGTATATCCATTTTAATCCAAAAATCCCATAAAAATTTATTAAATGCTCTTTCATTATAGAGGCTGTTGATCCAAATCTAAGCTGGTATGCATTCATGATTCTGCAAGACCTTTAGCATTGGCAGGAGATGTGAAAAAGGTAGGAGTTATATACATTTCCCTTGGACAAAATTACTTAGTAACTCCGTTTGCTTTAGGTGAGAATATTGTTATATTTTTCTTTGTTATATTAGATGGTCCTGTATATTAAAAAAAGATGTTTTGTGATAAGATAAGTGCTTGTAATTACTTTAATAGTTTAGGACAAACTTTCTTGAATCAATGATTTAGGTATTACATGACATAAGAAATTGAAGTATCAAAGAAAAAAAGAATTTAAATATTACATGTTGTACATTCGTAGTTCAAACAAGCGGAAGAAACAGCAAATAAGTTTGATTTGAATTTAGACGGGTCCTATAGTAATTTGTTGAAATAGAATTTAAAATATTATATGTTGTATATTACATGATATCTCTTATTTTTTTGCAAGTTCACATAATTGTTGGAGGCACTTCTTTTCATCGTTGTAAATACTTTTTTTTCCTTATGATGTATTGTTTAGATGATTAGATTAGATTAAAATCTTTTCATTAATTTTGTGGTTAGAGAAGTTGATTTAGATTGTGGTTTTGACATTCACAAGAACTTTTTATTTCTTTGAATTTTCAATAGAATTATATTTTTCATCTTATTGGCGTTCAACTTTAACATGTTAGGTAACATTGTAAAGTAAAATAGGTATCGTTTATTAAAAAAATAAATGAGGCAATGAGAGCACTTTTATTTAGAAGCACTCTTGTAGACATACTTATGAGAGTGCTACTTATGGGAGCACTTTAGAAGTGCTCTTATAGGCCAAAAATAAGCACTATAAAAAACAATTTTTGTAGTATATGGCCCTTGCATCTTACTAAAAAAAATTAAAAATTAAATGGGCCATGACCCTTGCTACTTTCTCCCCATCATTGATTCATTGATTGAGTGTGAGGTAATGATTAGTGGTTGACGGTTCCAACCTTCTTAATGTAACTAAAATAATACTGGGAGCTACTTGGATTTGTTGATGTTGTGAGTAGTTTCTTATGCTCATAAAAAGATTAGGTTGATTTAATAAACAAGTCAACTTATGCTAAAAGGTTGTTTTAATTTGAATCTGTGGAGTACAAATTATACTTAAGAGTTTTTGCTTTATTATAAAGAAAAATTACTATCAATTCAATTACATAAACTGAGAGATTCGAATAGGTAGAGACAAATTAAGTTTAAGAGAAAGTGCTACTCATATTTTAAAGAAGACATTGTGTACAACTTTCTTTGTCTCTCTCTATTTTTTTTTTTTTAAATCTTCAAAGATCCATTCCAACCAGTACAAGATGCCCTCCTTCCATCACACGAGGGTCAAGATTGATGTTAATGACTATTTGCAAGAGCCTATGGGTTCATATATAATCAATAATACCATTCATTTTACAAACATATAAGCTTGGAGCTGTGAACACAATCCAACACCCACGCTTACAATTCATATTCATCTAAACTAGTTGCAAATTTCCCACTTAACAATTACCAAATACACTTTAAAGTTCTCAAGCTCTCAATACTTCAGAATTTGAAACCACAAGGTTTTACAATCCAGACATAAATCTCTAACTAATAACATGATTCTACATTCTTATAATAATGCTTTCCCCTTCTTCCATCTGCTCTTTCCTTCACTGCTCTCCATCAAATGACTTATTCTGTATGTGATAACATCATAAAGCAGTTCAGCACGCACAATCATGTCAGGAATTTAATTGCAGCATGAGCAAAACCTTTCTAAATGTAAAGATATTACATATTGTTCTGTTTTTTCTTTTGGCTAAATTAAATATCCTTATGATCAGAAGCATCAAAATAAAGTACTGTTCAAAAATGTTAATAATAGAAGTTTTAATTATTTCAAATATTATATTTTTGTAACTGCCGTCGACAAAAAGTTTGTCTTTCTATTTTTTTTTTGGAAAGTAAATAAGAATATTAAGTTCTGAAGTAATAAGTTTTGGATACCGACATCCTGGTATGACGTAATTACAACTAACAAGTAACTCTATGAACGTTATCTCAATCATTTGATCACAAGCTCAAGAATGAATCTACAAGTAGTAATACTAGAAAACACAGATTAGTGAATATTTTATTAATGATGACGTGTTGGTACTTCATTCAAATATTGTACGTTCACATATATATTTTAAGATTATGTTACTGTTTTGATCATTTGATGATTCCAAAAATTCGTTAAGTTTCTTAGATTCCACCAATATTATTTTTTTAATTATTAAAACAGAAATATTTGATTAACATTCTTTGCACAAATAGAGGGTTTGTAACATGGATGGTGTAATAAATTAGCTCTCTGGGGCCGGTTTGCTTGTATTCCCTTTTTCTTTTTAAATTTTTTTGCAATACAATTTTTAAAATTACTTTTCAAGACAAAACAGGAAAAGAAATCTATTTGATTGTGTTAATTTAAAAACAATTTAGAATTAAAAAATTAGATAGTCGTAGGAGGTTAATGGTGGTGGCTTATAATAATTATCAATCAAGATGAGTCTAGTTTTCAATAACCAAATGTAGTGCATTTTGAAAATAAAAAAAATAAAATAAAAACAGCTTTAACATGAGTATATTTTTCTTTTTTTTTAAAAAAAATGAGAATAGTTTTTAAAAAAATTAAAATCAAAATATTTATCCAAATGGTTTTTAAAGAAAATCTGTTTCATAAAAAAGCATAACCAACAGAGTAAATTTTGTAACATTTGATCCATTTGTAATTTTTTAATACATTATGTATTTACGTACGTATGTAGTAATAGACTAACAGTGATTAAATAATTAAGAAAGGAATAAGGAAATTGTTGGAGCATGATAAATATATACCTGTACTTTCGATGGAAGTGGCTTCCTCAAAGGAAAAGTCAAATTCTGGGCATTCATTTATTTGGACATCTTCGACATAGGGAGCATTTAAATTGAATCCTTTGCAGAAGTGAGTGAGACTTGGCAATTTTGAAAGTATCAAGTGTCCTAGTTTTGGAAACACAATGTGTTGTGTAGTGACAGTGGCGGCTTCATCAGTTTTATGGGAAAAGAGCTCCTCCATTTGTGCGGCTTCTGATACCTCTATGCGATATAGTTTTGGAAGAAGCATTCCAAGAGTAGCTGTCCTGAAAAGGAATTTCAACTTGTTGCACCTCTCCACTATTATGTGCCTCAATTTTGGAAATGTCAACTTCATATTAGAGTTGAATACATGCTGAGCTTCTTCCAACTCGTGCATGATTTCCTCTACTTCCTCGCATTCACTAATTGCCAAATATATCAGTTGTTGAAGGCTTCCCCAAACAGAGGAGGAGAAGATGCATTTCAGTTTTCCACATCCATGTACTATTAAAAATCTAAGATATTGGAAGCTCAAATTTTGGGAGGGAGTATTGAAAGCGCTGCATATGAAACTCAGCTCACTTAGCTTTTGTAATTCTAATTCCTTTAAATCTAAGCGGTTTGGGAACAAATAAGGGAGTTGATCAAGCACTTGACTGCCGTTGTCCCCACGAGTCTCTGCTTCCTCCTATAGAAAGCACAAATGAAGCACATTAATGAACTAACAAAAGAAAGGGGAGCCTAAACACATTTAACAAATAAATGATTAATTTTGACAATCTATATTCATTGTTCAGGTGTTTAATACTGGGTAGAACTTGCTACAATAAGTGTTCAAGCACCATTCATTTTTATTTTTATTTTTGTCGTCCATACATGCATGAAGAATGCAACTTACCCTTGTCTTTATTGTAGTGAATATGCTCCCAATTGCCCCCATGATTGAGAAAAATTTTGGGCATTCTTCCACACTAATTTGTCCAAGGTTCATAGCGTATAACTTGAATCCATTGCAGATGTGAACAAGACTTGGCAATTTCCGAAGATATATGCATCTCAAGTATGGAAGTGGGATTTCATTGACATGGTCACTACTGGCTTCACTGCTACATCTAAAAAGCTCCTCTAACTTTGCACTGTTGGAATTTTATTATGGATTAACATTAATTAATGAATCTAAACAGATTGGTCTTTATGATCTTGTGTGGACCGTGATAGGAGGACCACACAAGTGAGCCTAATGGGCAGAGACCTAACCCACAACCCAGTAGCTATTAGTTATTTCTTATCTCTTAACTGATTGAGTCATAGATAATGAAATTAATTATTTATTTTATTTAATAAGGCGGTTATAGATTTGATCGATATAAGTCGATCAATCGATAACTGCAAACACACGACTCATTTCTTTTGCTTCATTATCTTTGTACTCTTTGAAGATTCTGGGGGCTAGTGGGTTGTGCACCTGTCTACACTCAAGGTAATCAAGCCTTCTCAAGCATTCATGGATTCTTCAGGTACGCACATATTACTTTATTCTATCATATTCAATTATATATGAATTGAGATATTAGATTTAACACTTTGTATCAGAGCCTTAGTAACAAATTTTAAATTTCTATATCTCAATTCTTCTAATACATATAATGATATATTGATTAAGATTCATGCTTATATGTTGATAATTTTCTTATATCCATGTTATTGAAAATGAGAATGAATATGAGATTTACATATACTCATATATGCATCACCATATTATACTCAAGAGAGTATTGCAAACAAATATAAAATTTGATTATTTATCTGTTCTTTGTTTTATCCTTCCCTTGCATCTTCTTCATTATTGTTGGTGTCTCCGCGTTCGCTGGCTGAGATAGTGTCTCGACGTTCTCTTTGTTGTCGCCGG